TCTACTGTATTACTATTTTTATATCCGTTTCTCTTATAGTCAATCCGAAAAAATGTATAAAATACACTTACTTTTCGATTGCTTGAGTCCGAAACTTTTTTCATAAGTATCCACTATAATAATGGAGAAAACCATTGCAAATGTAATTAAACAATTCATTTTTGGATTTGAAATGTCGTCTTAATTACATCGAAATTTAAGTATTAATAATAATTTATTATCGATAAAGGATATCGAATCTTGACTTAATTTTAATTGAATTTCCTCTCATGGAATTTATATCGATTAAAATAAATTACTTCCTTTCTTTATAATTTGGGTCGATGATTACATTTAATTTCGTAAACACTATAAACAGAATATTCGATAGCATTTATAATTTAATAAATATTAAATATTGGTAAATTTCTACTTAAGATATACCATTCTCATAGTGTAATATATTTTTAATTATTTATATTTTATTCTGCGGGGAGAAGCATACAAAAAATCATACAAGATTATACAACATATATATATATATATATATAACCCATTGAACGGGTTATATATATATATATATATATAACCCGTTCATCTGTCCGCATAACGGTATGCTAAAAACGTGCACTAGAGGCGCCCTCGCGATGATTTTAAATTAACGATAAATTATTTTTATTTGTAATAGGAATTTATTATTGATATGAATTTATTATTTATACCACAGAATAATATAAATAATTATTATATGCGTTGCCTTACTTTATTATATGCCTCGATTAACCTTGCGCCGCACGTTCACGACATCCCGTGACTCGGTGAACGTCGCGCATTGACTCACGGAAACTTGTTGAAAAATACATTTAAAATCGAGGTTTACAAGCGAAGGTAAATATACAAATTAAACAAAGTTTTAAAGTATTTATAGAGTGTATAGATCCGTATGACGCGATTGGGACGGTAAGATTTACCCTCCGAATTAAGGGGTGGCGACCCCCCCTCTGTGCGAACAATAAATGTTTAATGAACCATCCCCGTACGCGCAACCCTTTCCGAGATATAGCCCTCCGAAAATTATTCTACGGGGCACGTGACTGCCTGTTTGCCACAATTTACCCTGCCAATAAGCGGGTCGGCGACCCCTAGAGTGTGCGCGAGCGCGCGTTAATTATTTTTCGCGCGGTAGGCTTTTTGACCACGGTGTCACTTGACCGGAAATGACGTAGGCGATTTTTAGGGGCTTATATCTCGCGAAGGGTCGCTCATAGGTGTATGGTTCCTTTGACTTTATTGTTCGCACAGGGGAACTACAGTTTGGGATTTGACAACCCTTCATTCGGAGGGTAAATTTTACCATTGGGACTTTAACGGAGCTGTAAAGCATATTGATAGGAACAAAAAAGTCAAAGGAACCGTGCCTCATGAAAATTTGTAAAGAACACCCACTAGGGGGATTCCCGGGCTACTAGTTTATTAATATAAAACCAATATATACAGCAACTTTACCTAAAATTCAATAGAATGAATTTAGGTTTTGTTTTACAAAAACCTAAAAGTGGGAAAACTATCCAAAAACAAACACTGGGAGTTCGGTCGTGGGCTCGGACAGGCTGGCCACGTGGAGTTTTCCGGGTTTTCTCCATGTCTATAATGCCTAAATAAATGCTAGTTTTCCTTAAAAAGACCTCCTAGAAGGCATCCCCTAGGCAGATCGCCCAAGTGTTGCGTTGCCATAACTTAACAAACTATTTATCTTTGGACGGCCGGATGGCCAAGAGGTAAAGTTGGCAGCTTACCGCTCTGGAAGATGAATCGATAAAAATCTCCCGGAGTTTTTCGGATGTGGGCCGTTTGGATATGTCGGGCCCTGCTGTGGGTTTCACCGAATTATAAGAGGCTTGCTAAGAGAGGCCTTCTCAGTGCCCACAGGACAGAAAGAGTACTAAAGAAAATTCAGCTTCGAAATATAATAATCGAAATTATTCAACTTTAGTAAATAAACTCCATTAACATTTTTTTTAAAAATTTCAAAGTTAATCCCATTCCTCGTACAATTTACAAACTTCGTCCAGGGCAACACTATCTGTTTCAGAACAAAACGCAAACAAATCTTGCTAAGACATTTTTCTACCGGGTTTAAAGTTCTAAAAACCCAATTAACGCATTTGTTCAGGATCATACGAAACAATGGAACCGGTAAACATTTCACACACAGTAAATATCCAGGAGTGCATCTTGGGAGCCCATACAATCTCTTAACATAAGTAGGTAATACTATATCCAAAATCTCCCTCCTGAAACCCTAACAACTCAGAGGCATAGAGAAGAGAGGAGTCTACAACTGCATTATATTTCTTTAACTGCTTCCTTAAATTACGCAATTTCGCAAAGTTACACATTTGTACAATTTTATCCGCCTTCATCTCAGCATTAATTCTACGAGTCCTGAGACGAGTATTAAAATTAGCATTGCTTTTAAAGGTCACACCTAAATACTTCTATTGTGAAACACCCGATATGGGGACATCACTAAAACACCATTTATCAAACTTAGAACCATTGCCACCATTTCGAAAAACAACAATTTTAGATTTTGTAAGATTCGATTGTAGAGTGTAATCCATTATATTTATCCAAAAGGTCGATCGGCACCCGTAACGACATCTTTGATACAGCCACAATTACCACATCATCCGCATACGCTATTATTGCATTCGGCCCATATTGATAATGATGGTGTCAATATTACATTGACTCCATCGACATTAATGACTTCTACTTTGTAATTATTAATACAGTTCAATAAATCATTTAAATATAAAGTAGAAAGAATGGGGCTCAAAATATATCCCTGTCTAACACCCTTGTTTGAAAAGAAAAGAGGATTTGCTGTTCTCAGCCTATTTAATACTAACATACGAGCCATAATATAACTCTACAAGCAAGTAAACAAATTTAAATCTTAATCCAAAATTTAACAATTTCTTTCATAATAAATTCCTGTTAATGGTATCAAATTCTGATGCTAAATCTACAAAAGAAATGCATATATCTTACGCCGTTTCATTCTTAATATCTTAATCGCATACAGAATGAAAATTTTTTCAACAGTCGAATAACCTGCACGAAAACCAGTCTAATTCTTTCACATAATATCTGTCATATTCAACCAACTTATTAACCTATAACACAGCACAACAACGAAATGCCTCTATAACTTTTAGGCACCAACTTCGAACCACTCTTATGTACCGGAACCAATAAAGAACTCTTTCATTCTTCTGGGATAGCACCTGTATTCAACGCCTTATTTACTTTAGAAATAAGGAAATTTATCGATGTGTGACATCTTCAACTTCCTCTGATTCACAGGAAAAGAGGAGGATTCCTTCCAAAATGAAGAAGAAGAATTGACGTCAGAAAAATCTATGCCAAAACTATATAGAATGTCCGCTAGGCTACAAGCAAGTTACAACTTTGTTTGGGCGTACCCCGCAAGCGATTTGCAGTCATGTCGTCCGAAAACTGTGTCAAATGAACTTGGGCTACCAAACCAAGTAAGGGTTCGGCTAAACAGTTAGTCCAGAAAGAGAAGACAAAGAGGAAGACAAGTATAAGAATTGATACTTTAAACATCGAAACATTAATTGGGAAGAGTTGAAAGTTAGTTGATCTTATGCAAAGAAGGAGAGTGAAGATTCATTTTCATCTTGCAAGCACAAAAATAAAGCTAAAAGAACTTGGTGAATGGTTAAAACTGTTTGTCAGTGGAGCGAATGATGGAGAAAAGTCAATTTTTCCCACTAGTAATAAAGTGAAATACAGTAAGT